TGGATAACTTCTATTTTTAGTAGAGAAAAAGTCTTGCTATTGTTCAGGCTGGTCTGGAACTCTTGGGCAAGGCCTCCACTTTGGCCTCCCAGAATGTTAGGATTATAGATGTGAGCCACTGTACCTGGAGAATTTCAAATTTTATTCAAATTTAAGTTGCCACATGTAGTTACTGGCTGTGTTGGCCAGTACTGGTCTAAAGCCTTATTACTTCAAGTGTGTGCAGATCAGCAGCAAATATACTCTCTGGGAGTTGGTTAAAAATACAGTATTTCAGGCTCAGCACCTGTAGCTCAGCAGCTAGGGCACCAACTATATACACCAGAGCTGGTGGGTTCAAATCTAGCCCAGGCCTGCCAAACAATGACAACTATAATGAAAAAATAGCTGGGCGTTGTGGTGGGCACCTATAGTCCCAGCTATTTGGGAGGCCAAGGCAAGAGAATTGCTTAGGCCCAAGAGTTTGAGGTTGCTGTGAGTTGTGACGCCATGAAACTCTACCCAGGGTGATAGCTTGAGACTTTGTTTCAAACAAACAAACAAACAAAATAGTATTTCAGATTTGGAGTTCCTAATACATCTTACAATTTAAGATAATCACCAGGTGATGCCTATGCACCTTAAACTTTGAAAAGCACTTTGTCTAGCGGCCATATATTTTTGGAGACAGTCTCACTATGTCGCCCTTGTTAGAGTGCCATGGTGTCACAGGCCACAGCAACCTCCAACTCCAACTCTTAGGCTTAAGCAATTGACTTACCTCAGCCTCCAAAGTAGATGGGACTACAGGCACCTGCCACAACACCCAACTATTTTTTGTTGTAGTTGTCATTGTTGTTTACCTGGCCCAGGCTAGGTTTGAACCCACCAGCCTTGGTATATGTGGCTGGTGCCATAACCACTGTGCTATGGGTGCCAAGCCTAAGGCAGTCTTATATGAAAACAATGAAATTCCTAAAAAAAAAATTTTTTTTTTTTTGAGACAGAGCCTCAAGCTATCCCCCTGGGCAGAGTGCCATGGCATCACAGCTCACAGCAACTTCCAGCTCCTGGGCTCAAGTGAGTCTCCTGCCTCAGACTCCCAAGTAGCTGGGACCACAGGCGCCCACCACAACGCCTGGCCATTTTTGGTTGCAGCCATCATTGTTGTTTGGCGGGCCCAGGCTGGGGATTTGAACCCGCCACCTTAGGTGTACGTGGCTGGCGCCTTAGCTGCTTGAGCCACAGGCGCCGAGCCGAAATTCCTAAAATCATATAAAAAGTTTGTATACACACATTTTCCTGTTTTCCTATACTCTGCCCCCTAGATTTTCTAAAGTGTTCATGATTCAAAACTGAGACGTTCTTATTTCTTATTATTTTAGAGACAGGGGTCTTGCTACGTTGCCTAGGCTAGCCTTAAACTCCTGGGCTCAGGAAATTCCCTTACTTCTGCCTCCCAAGTAGCTGGGATTACAGGCACACACTGTTACACCTAACTCTCAAGCAGTTTTATCCTACAAGAATGTAGCCCCCAAAAGTGGGAAAGCAGATTTCAATGAACAAAAAAAAAAAAAAAAGTGATCCCTTGCTGTTCAAGGAAACTCTTTTCAATTTAAGAACAGAAACTGGTAGTACGGGATTTCACAGTTCTTTCATTGTGCTTTCACTTCATTATGTCTGAAGCAAAAAACTACCATCACACTCTCAGTTTCTGTCTCAAAAAAGGACATACATATCAACACAGACTGGTAGTTATGAAATATTTATATATATTCTATTTTGTATTATTCATACACATATACTTATTTTTTTGGTGCAAAATTGAGCACACAAGGCATTCCTTCCAGTGAAAATTCCAATTGGTGCTAATTTGTACCACCCAGAATAACTGTTGAAATTTCTGGTACTGATGCAGTTGCTATCAATTTTTTGGTTGATTCAGAAGCCAATTGGGAATTTTTTTACTAGTATGATGGCAGTCTAGTTACTATCTACAATAAGAAACCACAAATAAAAATATTTGAAAGTATAATCTTGCTATTTAGCTTTCTTTTCCTAAGGAAACAGTGCTGGTTTTTATGTTCCTTTATTATTTCTCTTAGGCAAAAATTAGAAAACAATGATAATTTTGTATTGAGAATGAGGTTGCTTTCAGGCTTTGTAAACTTGCCTCAGACAAACTTCCTTCTTTTGTTAACAGAAATTGTTCTGACTTCTATGCTAAGGCAATGATTTATTTATCCTGGTTGACTAAATTTCTAGTTAGATGATGTGTCCCTGAGTCTCAAAATGGCTTGAAGAATTCACCATGGATCATTATTTTTCCACTAATTTTTAAGAGACATGTACAAGGCTCGGCGCCTATAGCTCAACCGGCTAAGGCGCCAGCCACGTACACCTAAGGTGGCGGGTTCGAATCCCCAGCCCGGACC